TCAGGAACATTGGGTTTTTTTTTTCGTCCCAACGTCTACAATACCATATGGCCTCGGTTTTAAGGTTTTATTCGAGAAACCCATAACTTTCACATTTAAGTGCTTTGCACTTGATGAAGAAAAAGTTGCTAAACTTTTTTTTTTCGATTAATGTCATTTGCATCCGTTATTCGAAGCTTAGTAAAAAGACTTCTTAAAATACGCTGATAAAACGAATAAATAAGTCGTTCAAGCTATTCACCTGTAAACACATTTATGAGGTAGTGTTGGTTGGGACTAAGGGTTTGGGAGAGAATTGTATTCATATATGATAAAACTGCTTTATATAATACATAATTCTAAGCATGAAAAAAGAATTCCTTCCATTAAAATCATTGCATCAATTTTATATTAACTACTTATTAAAAGCCAATAAGGGCGCAAGGTTGTTTTACGAAGACGTGAAAACGTTTACTAAGCAAGAATATTATGACACAGGATTAGAGAAAACAAAACAGCAGAAATAGTGGAGAAATCTTTTTTTAAAATCAAGAAAAAAAATGGTATTATCATGCCGTTTGAATTAGATGTCACATATTTTAATATGACAAGAAAGGAATATACAGAAGTACAAGACTTTGGCACAGACACTGGCCTATAATCGGTACCCAGGACTATTGAGCAGTTAGGTTTCTTTAAGGGTTTTTATCATGCATCTAAATTCTAAATTTCTTAAAAACTAAACACTATTCTATTCTTGATACATATAATAATCATTTAAGGACAAATGATACAAATTTTTTTCTTTGATTGATTGATTGATTGTATATTGTTTAACGTCCCTCTTGAGAATTTTTCACTCATATGGAGACGTCACCGATGCCGGTGAAGGGCTTCAAATTTAGACCTATACTCGGCACTCAGGGCCATTGAGCAGTGAGGGTTCTTTATCGTGCCAACGCCTACCGTGACACGGGACCTACGTTTTTAGGGTCATATCCGAAAGACCCGTAACTTTCACTTCTAGTGCCGAGCGCTTGGCGAAGGAACAGTCACTACCTATGTTTACGTCTTAGGTATGACGCGGCGCCGCGATCGAGAATCGAACCCGGGCCTCCCAAACACGAAGCGAACGCTCTACCACTAGGCTACAGTGACCGGTTTTTTTTCTTTGAAAAAGATTTAATATCATGTCACAAGTTGAGAAATGTGGATGGTTCTTAGAATTTTTTCTCCTAAGAACTGGAATATGAGAAAGACTTGGAAAATATAAGTAGTATTTCAATGAAAAAACAAATATAGACAAATCACATTCAGTAAAGGTTTACAGGTGAAAAAAAATCAGAATAAACATGGTGCTAAAAGTGTAATATAAACTTAAGAAAATATACCAAGCCAGGTGAATATTATTAGGAAAAGCTAAATGGTAAAAATCAGCCTATGTGATATTGCTAATTTTGTGTCATTTTGATCTTTCTCTTAAAATTCACCTGGCTTGGTATATTTTTCTATGGTTCATATTACTCTTTTAGCGCCAATATAACATATTCTGAAATTTTTTTCACTTGTAAACCTTTACTAAACGTGATTTGTCTATATTTTTTTTTATTGAAATATTACTAATATTTTCCATGTCTATTTCATTTTCCAGTTCTTAGGATAAAAAATTTTAAGATCCATCCACTTTTCCTAACTTGTGGCATGATATTAAATCTTTTTCAAAGAAAAACTTTGTTTGTATCATCTGTCTTTAATTTTAATATAATGTTTTAAACTGCCATATTTAGGACATAAAACGTCCGTAGTGTAGGGTCATTGGATTGAAAATCTCTACTAAATAGAAAGGGGTCATGTGATACTGAAACGTCATGGGTGTCAATGGGCAATTTGAACTCGTTATTACGTTTAAATAAAAAGAATAGACGATTAGGTTGGAAGAAATTTTGACTTGACAATATTACTTTGACTATGGGTGCTCAATTTTATATGTTTTTAAAACATCTACCATAGAAAAAAACAAAAACATGCCGTGAAAAGAGTAGAGGGTATCAAAGACGAAGCCGTTAGCAAGTCCTAGCTTCTACTGAATAGATCGTATTATTAACGTTTGACTTCTTAAATAATTATTAACATGGTAGTTATAAGTTTTTCATAAGTCATTCTACGTTATTATAATAATCATACATAAACAGATTTTGTGTCTTCTATCTGTTCCAATGAATATCATTTTATAGTAGAAAGGACACTTCGATCTTCAATGGCGCCGTGCGCCATTATGAACTTTACAACTCTTGTTGATGCATGATGCGATGTGTGATGTGTGTGCGATTTATGAAATGCTCGTAGATATTTTATTGATATCTTTTCAAGTACCATTCTCATTGAATAGATATTTTATAATACAGAAAAAAATGTGATCGTACTTAAACGATTGCTCGGAATGGACACAAATCCTCGCGCCGACCAAGTCCCTGGCATGTAAAAAAAAAACTTCCTATTACAATAACCTTTCCTGTGCTCATTTCATTTCTCACCCAAACGCCACAAATTATATCTAACTATCTATCAATTAACCAATTATCATTAATTTAATTTGTAGCAGGGTTTATAGACGAAGCCATTGAGCCGTTTTGTAAACATGATAAGTACTTCGCTTGACCAGGATTGACACATATGACGTCAGACCAATGGCGCGCAGCATCGGCAATCAAATTAAGCATATTGAGAAATTCAAACTTCGAATCACTGAAACACCTAAAATATTAATTTTTTCTAGCGAAAAAAAAATAATGATTTTGATAGCATATAAACTTTGTTACATCAAAAAACTATGATACATGATAAAAACGATTTAATCTTACCAAAGTCTACACTGAAACGGATCTCGGTTTTAAAAATTCTCATCCTAAAATCCTGTTGCTCACACTACTAATGTTTTTACATCTTAGGTGGAAGAGGCTTGGCAAGTAAGAATCGAACCAAGCCTTCGAATTTCCAATCACGAAGTAAATGTGTACCATTAGGCTACCTTGAGCGGCGCAAGCAAACAAAAGATGAAAATATAAAGAACAGACACAGGTAGAAGATCAAGTGATTGTAACGTCACGCTAACATTCTTATAATTTGTTTGTTCATGGGGACATACATTGGTCCGTTGACGTCAATCTCCACAGAAGCCAAGCCATAATGATTTTGAACTGCAACAGTCCATGCAAAGACATAAACTCTTGATCTCGGTATGATAAAAATACAAACGTCCTTGTAATAATCTTGACCTTGTTGACCTTAACCGTGTCCAAAATTAAGATGTGATGTTGACGTAGACCAGAAGCCGTTTTTAATGAAGGAATTGACGCATTTAATATAAGATTTATATTCTTATGACCTGGATACCGGGTATCTGAAACATAATCCTCAATCGTGTTCATCGTATTCGCTCTATACCAGTACATTTGTTACTATAGTCCTGCTGGAAACATCATTAAAGGTGACGTAATTATAGTTAATAAGGAACCTTAGATCCCTAACTTTTAAAGGTCCTAAATATAGGGAACCCCGATCCTTCAACTGGCGTCGGATTTCCATAAACATTAGAATCAGCCTCAACAATATCAATGATGTGTTAGAATTAACAATAAGAATTGGTTCAATATGAATGTTTTTTTTTTTCTCCTATTTGTATTTTAACACTCATATCAAAGTACGTGTATCACTAAAAAGTCTAATTATCTGCTTGTGAATTTAATACAGGCATATTAAATTTACTGAGGCTGACTTTAGTTTCATATTAGATAATCAATTTAAAGTTGTACTTGTATGAAACAAAAATTTGAAATAATTATCAATAAAGAGAAATAATCATTATCAGTTTTGGTAAATGCTTTAAAAGTAAAACTCATTCATTTTTATAAAAATTAACACTAACCTGATTCATCTTTTATCCGTGAGTTTCATGGAAACATGAGGCCTATGGACCACATCGCTCACCTGAGAAACTTTGACCATTGCGTTCTTTACCAGATTTCCCCCTTGTAACACATATTGTGACCCCACCCTACTCCGCTGATAAAAAATTAGACAATTTGAAATCTACACAACCCCAGGATGCTTTGATTCCCTATTGTAAAACTGTACAACTTTGATTCCCCATTGTGGGCCTGCCCTACCTCTGGGGATCATGATTAGAATAATTTAGAATCTACACTACCCAAGGATGCTTCCACATAAGTTTCAGATTTCTGGCCCAGTGGTTATTGAGAACAAAATTTCAAATATTTTTCCTATATATTTCTGTGCAAAACTTTGATTCCTCATTGTGGCCATGCCCTATCCCCGTGGTAATGATTTGAACAATTTAGAATCTACACTACCCAAGGATTCCATCACACAATTTTCAGCTGTTTTGGCCAAGTGGTCTTGAGAAGAAGATTTTTAAAGATTTTTCCTATATATTTCTATGTAAAACTTTGATTCCCTATTGTGGCCCCGCCCTACCCCCGTGGTCATAATTTGAACAATTAAGAATCTACACTACCCCAGAATGCTTCCATATAAGTTTCAGCTTTTCTGGCCCAGTGGTTCTTGAAAAGAAGGTTTTTTAATTACCCCCCCCCTATTTTTGTCTTTTCTTGATTATCTCCCCTTGTGAGGGGGATTAGCCCTTCATTTCAACAATTCAAATTCCCCTTTACCCAAGTTTGGTCAAAATTAGCCCAGTGGTTCTTGAGAAGAAGTCGAAAATGTGAAAAGTTTACACACGCACAGACAGACGGACGACGGACAAAATGAGATCAGAAAAGCTCACTTGAGCTGAAGGTTCAGGTGAGCGAAAAAAAAAATGCCAAAATCAATTATCTAATAAAATCAGCAGTTGCAATTGATATTTTCACAATGACTTTTGCTAATTACATGGAATTTTAATAAATTATTTTCAGGGATTGACTGTTTAAGAGGCTAAGAGTGTATGACAGCTTTATTGATCTAGACAAAAATGAGTGAGAATCGATAAACTCACGAAAAAAGAACTATCCAAACTCGATCAATCTAATAAAACAACAATGCTTGAAATGGAAGTAAACTGTTTAAAGAAAGAACTACTTGATCAAACTTATAAAACGAAAATCGAAAAGGAAGAATGTAACTCATCCAAGCAGGCACTGCTCATATGTAAGAACCTATTTCACAGATTTTATTTTACTTACCCTTTTGACAAATCCATTGCATTATGAATATAACTTTCCCTTTTAATGTTGCGTAAAAGTTTATTATATCATTGAATAGTCATTATCACCTCTACTGATTGAGATCCAACAGTGTTATACGCCTATTTACTGGCTAGTAAATTTGTTCTATATAAAAATATGACGAAAAATCATGCTTTTTCAACAGCCCCCACCGTGAAATAGTTTTTGTGCTATCTTCCCATGGTGAAATAGCCATCAAATTATTCACCGGCAGCATTCTGTTTCCTTCGCTTTTCATTACGGAAAACTTCTGATTTTATACGGGTTGTGACTTAGATATTTTGACGTAACAAAAGTAAAGTCAGCATCGATATAATAAAACACCTTTTGACTGACTATTCGTACAATAGTAAGTTTATCGTCCCCCTCGACAGCAAATTATATCCCTCGGCTCGGTTGCGCCTCGGGAAATTGTTTGCTGTCTTGGAGGACGATAAACTTGCTATTGTCCTCATAGAGGTATAATAAAAAAATATAATGCTGTATACAAACATGCATGTCACCTTCAGGGTGAAAATAAGTATTAAGATTTCCAGTATATACAGTACAAATAGTTCTAAAAAGTATTCTTACAAACAGGCAACCTCCCCTCAAGTGAACAACTTAAATATTATTCAGTACATAAAATGGTAGTTGGGTTTCGAGAAGGGGAACTGTCACCTCCCTTTACTTTTTTCTGCGATAATTTACTATTGATTTAGTATAACTATAATGATTGGAAGTCCCCCCCCCAACCAAATCAAGATTGAACCCAAGCATTCCACAAAACTCTATGTATATATTTAATTTTTAAAACTGAAATGTTTTAGATTTGTCTTATTGCACTTCTTTTCTTAAACTCTGTGTATCATTTAAACGCATTTTTATCTTTTTTTCTAGTTTCTTTTTCTATTCAAAATTTCTAATCACAATATTTTTAAATATATACATGTAGTGAAGCCTGACCACGTTGTCTTCCATGTGGTAGCTTCCAGTAATTCCAGTCCCGGTGTGGTCATTTTCGATCACGTGATCTCAAATATTGGAAGCAGATACGACAATAACTCCGGGATTTTTACAGTAAGAACAACAGGCTTGTATGTGTTTTCTTGGAGCATAGAAACTTACGGACAATTGACTGAGGCTGCGCTTTTAGTGAACAGAATAGAAGTAGGAATAACGAAGTCTGATGAGGCCCCATCCTACTACGACACAACTACTTCCTTCGCTGTCCTTAGCCTCAACAGAAAGGACAAAGTCTGGGTTAGAATCAAAAGCGGGCGAGCAGAAGCGATGCATACATGTACCATATTTTCTGGATGGAAGATCAATAAAAGCGGTAAAGAATTTATACCTCTTTGAAAATAAAATGGTTGAGGGCAAATAAGTCTTACAACTTTATCTTTTAAAATTGCAATATAAGTCTTAAAACGTTATCTATTAAACTTGTAGTTTTCAAAAAGTTTGCTTACTCTTATAAAATAAAATACAAGTCATGAAATGTAATATTAATGCCATATATGGAACTAAAAACAGTTATAGTATTGTTCAACGTGATGGTAAAGATCCCAATGTCCTTGAAAAGAAAGCAATTTGTCAGAATTTATGATGGATCATAAATTAAGAAAAGCATGGGGACTTTATGTCTTGGATTCAAACTGAATAATGCTCAGTGAACAAAGTCCTGAGCAATGTAAAACCTCTTGGACAATGAGTGATTATAATTAGATATCTTTGTAGTATCAGATATATTCCTAAAGTTTTTTTTTCAAATATATTTAAAAAAACATTATCTATTTATAAAATATACATCTACATATAGTATTAGATCCGTCAAATAGTTTATCAATAGAATTTATAACCTGATACTACTACTCTACTACTCTACTACCACTACTACTACTACTACTACTACTACTACTACTACTACTACCGCAGCGCTCTGGAATTTAACATTTATGTTGTATCTGAAATTGATCTGATCAGAACAAAAAGCTAACTCAGTTTTTTTATGGGTTTTTGTCAGATGTAAGCAAAATCTTATTTGTATTTTCGAGAAAAAGTTGGCTTGGTCAAAATAACTCATATAATTAAGAAGCGAAATAATTCAATTGTTTGCCAAAATAACTGAATAACTTGTCAGTACTATACACAGACTTCAAAATACTTTGTCTGATTTTGTGGAAAATATAGAACTATCGATTCAAACATTAGTTACAGATTTTAATCATACAGATCAATTAGGTGCTTACAAAAGTTTTGAAAACTTTAAGCGGCGATGAGATGAATTATATGTTTTTTAATATAAATTACAAGTATGAAATTTAGACATACTTACATGAACAATTAAAATTTAAACCTTATGCACTGATTATCATGCAAACAGTGGATTTTGGAGAACTTTGCGGTTTTTTATTTGTATTATGCTTTTCTCCAGAAAAAAACTGAAGTCCATAAAGTCTTTGTTTTTGTTCATTTATTCTATTTTATATTGGGACTCTGTCTGCGACTGAAAACAAAAATAGAATCTTATAGTGAATATGTTTCCTTTGACATAAGATTTTTAATTATTAAATCTATCAGTGAGTAATTTGTAGAATGAATACAGAGCAATAGACACAAAAAATATAATGGTTATTATTATTAATATCATCATCATCATCATTGTTCTTGTTGCTATCAACGTTTTGAAGCTATAATTTCTTTGAAAATAATTCTAAAGAATATTTTAAAACGGATTATTCAGTTATCATCATGCTGTTTTCTTTTCAGTATCGAAATCAACATATCCAGCTTTTCTAGCTTACTTAATCAGAGACTCTTCCAGAACCCCAGTTGTTTATGATGTAGCTGTAGGTAGCTATCACCATGGTTACTCAACAAGCACTGGAGTATTCACTGCTGATCGTGATGGATTGTATTTGTTTCTGTCTAATACAGAAGCTTACAAAGAGATTGTACGTACTGTACTCACAGTCAACGGAGTGGGAAAATTCGAAACGAGGGCGGACGGACGTCGTACTGGTTATGACGATTCTTCTGCTGTCACTGTCCTTCGGTTATCCTCAAACGATCAAGTTAACATAGTAATTAAAACCGGGACAGTTAATGAAGTTCAGTCGCTATTTTTAGGGATATTTATTTTTGAAATCTGACTTTAAGGATTTGATTCAAATCTTCATTTTCTTTTAAGATAGAATCATGATATACGTGACGTCACGGGCGCGTCCATTTACCCAAAAAGGAACAAAACTGCCGGAAATGCTAATCTAGATCATTGATGTCATATGCGAAAAGAAACCAGAGACAAGTTAGTAGACATTCAAGAAAATTTAAAACGTGGAGGTACACGGACTTGTACTCATATCTAAACGTAATATCGTTATCTCTAGTTAATTGAGTATGATTGGTTTTTTTTTTCCTTTTGAGTAAATGGACCGCCCGTGACGTCACGTCATGGCGTCGCAGACAACGGTTGCACTCCTTGTGTTATTATTATAGGTATTACCTATCTTTTTAATTTACCGAAAATTTCAGCAAAATTGATAGGTTCGCGAACTGCTGTGATTAAAGCAACTTCTTTTCGCTTGGAGTTTTCTTATGTTTTGGTTACAAGAAAAGTCTTGATGCTAATTTGAGTGCACGAGATGCTTACTAATTCCAGGAGTAAACGCTCGTATTTTCCGGATTTGCGACATTCTTGTAATAACTGCATATTATTCATTTACACTATTATTACTATTTTAATGGAACTTTTTCTTATTGTGTAATGTTAGACCTTATTACTTTCTTATTTCCCGCCATTACATGTACTCCACATGCTTTGTATGTGCGCATTAATATCATATACTTTCAATAAAATGTCAGCATCCAGTCAACACGTGTTTTGAGTGTGTCGATCATAGGATTACCATAGGATTACCCAAGTATTACATTTGGCGACGAGGTAAATTTCATGTATCATGGATCGATTACCAGAATTTGCAGCATTCGATTATGCCGATAAGGCCGACGCTGGACCGAAATGGGAAAAATGGACCCGACGTTTTGAGCTTTTGTTTACCGGCATGAACATCGACGACAACGGGCGAAAGTGCACCCTCCTTCTTCATTACGCAGGAGAAAGAGTGTTTGATATCTACGAAGCAGAGAAGGGAGATACAGCGCCCAATTATGCGGCCGCAAAGCAAGTATTATCTGATTACTTTTCTCCGAGAAAAAACCCTCAGATGGAAGTGTATAAATTCCGAAACTGTAAAGAAAGCGTCAGTCAGTCGTTAGATGAGTATGTCACAGAACTGAGGAAATTATCTAAAGATTGTGAATTTGCCGATATAGATAAGGACGTTCTCTCACAGATAATTCAGAATTGTCGCTCTAATCGTCTGAGGCGAAGAGCGCTGCGGGAGCCTGAGATGAACTTAAAAACACTCCTAGATCTAGATCGTGCCCTCGAGGTTGCTGAGACTCAAGCGCTAACTATGGAGGCCCAGAACGAACGTAACAGTATAAACGCGATGCAGAAGTTATCTGGCAAACACCGAAGTCGCAACCCGAGAAGTAAAGAACAAGTGACAAAAGGTGAAAACACTATTGACAAACCATGCGGAAATTGTGGACTTACTCATGCACGCACATCAGTTTGCCCAGCGAAGGGACAGCCGTGTTTTCCAAACTGGATCTTTGACAAGGCTATCACCAGTTGGAACTGGAATCTGCTAGTCGCTCGATCACAACATTCAACACACATGTTGGAATATTTAGATACCAGCGTCTCAATTTTGGAGTGTCCGCTGCATCTGAAATTTTTCAAGAGACAATCCGTAGTGTTATCCAGGGAGTTCGTGGAGCAAAGAACATATCAGACGACATTCTGGTATTTGGCAAAACTCAGGAGGATCATGACTCCGCCTTGACGAAAACTTTTAGAGCGCTTCAGGATAGTGGACTTAAGTTGAATCGTCCCAAGTGTGAGTTCAACACAGACCGAATAACCTTCTTTGGACTAGTATTTAGTAAGGCTGGTATCTCACCTGATCCTAGGAAAGTCTCCGCGATTCGAGAAACACAGCGTCCGTCAAACGTAAGTGAAGTTTCTTGGGAATGACTGCATACTGTTCGAGGTTCATTCCTGACTATTCCACTGTGAGTGAACCATTGCGCCGTCCTACTCGTTCTGATACTGACTGGCAATGGACATCTGAAAAGGAGAGTGCATTTGACAAGCTTAAAACTTTGTTGTCTAGTGACATTGTGATTGCTTACTACAACCCAAAGAAACCCATCGAAGTTGTGGTTGACGCCAGCCCTGTAGGCCTAGGGGCTATACTTACACAAGAGGACAATGTAGTTGCTTCCGTTAGCCGATCACTGAGTGGACCAGAGTCGCGCTACAGTCAGACAGAGAGAGAAGCATTGGCGATCATATGGGCTTGTGAGCATTTTGATATGTATTTGAGAGGAGCAACACACTTTCGTGTAGTTACTGATCACAAACCTCTGTTAGCGATTTGGAAGCGCCCTAAGCCTCCGTTAAGGATTGAACGCTGGGGACTTAGACTTCAACCATACAAGCTTGAAATTACTTATCAACCAGGAAAGGACAACCCGGCAGACTACATGTCACGTCATCCTGTGGAGAGCCACACTAAATCCTGAGAGGAGGATATGGCTGAGAAATACTAACATTTCATTGCGCAGGAAGCAACCCTTCGATCAATGAGTTTAGATGAAGTCAAGATAGCCACCATCGCAGACAAGACCATTTCTAAGACCATAGAATTGGTCAGAACAGGGAGATGGAAGGAGAACAAATCTATAGACGACAACGAGATTGACATTCTGTAACTCCAGTCTTTATGTAATGTCCGTGACGAACTAGTCGTACACTCGGATAACGTCCTTCTGAGGAATGAATGTATTGTTCTACCAAAGTCGCTCAGGGCACGTGCAGTCAACATTGCGCATGAGGGACATCAGGGCGTAAGTCGTACAAAGGCATTCTTGCGTTCAAAGACTTGGTTTCCTGGCCTGGACGTTGCAGTAGAGAATGCTCTTAAACACTGTCTAGCGTGTCAAAGTATAACAGACAGGCAGATTCACTTTGAACCTCTACAAATGTCAGACATGCCGTCTGGCCCTTGGGAGAACCTCAGCGCCGATTTTTGTGGCCCACTTCCCACGGGTGAATATTTGTTCGTAGTGATTGACGAATACTCACGATTTCCTGTTGTTGAAATTATGAAGTCAACTTCCGCTAGTGCAACCATTCCTGTATTGGACAAATTGATCTCTACGTTGGGCATACCAAAGGTCATAAAAACCGATAACGGAAGTCCATTTAACTCTCATGCCTTTAAGGAGTTTGCCGAGAACATTGGTTTCCATCATCGACGCATCACTCCAAGATGGCCGAAAGCTAATTCCCAGGCTGAATCGTTCAATAAGCCAATAATATAAGCCGTTCGCGCCGCACACATAGAAAGAAAGAACTGGAAGCAAGAGCTATTCAAATTTCTTCGCCAGTACAGGGGAACGCCTCACCCATCGACTGGATTTGCGCCGTTCTCACTTCTGTTCATTCGCGAGACTAGGACCAAACTTCCTCAAGTTCCGACACGTAAATCAAATGCTGTCGACGAGTGCGCCAGACAAAATGATGAAATTGCGAAAAGGAAGATGAAAATGAACGCAAAACTTAACAACCCACCTGATGAACTTCGTTACGGTGATGTCATCCCGATGAACAAAGGAACAACAAGCTCGCCCCGAATTTTGACCCACAACCGTATACCGTTATGGCCAAGAAGGGAAGTATGGTGTCCGTCTCTCCTAAACCAGGAATGGAAAGACTTACCACTCGTAACTCATCATGTTTCAAACGAATCCTTAACACACTCGCTCGTGGTATCGTTGAACCAGAACTAACAGAAGGAGAGGAACTAATACTCGAGCGCAAGTTGAAAAACACATCAGTGCAAGATGTCACTCCGAATGTGAAACCGGAAACGAAACTGAAAACAGTACCGTTATCAGACAAACCTGTAATTCCAGCCAAAAACGGAGCAGAACGTACACTACAAGATCGGGTCGCATCGTAAGGAAACCTGCAGCTTTGAAGGACTTTGTGAAATAAACTTGCAGATTGTTTCTTGTGTTTGGTTTAAAGATTAATGTCAATTTTCTAGTCAATTTTGCAATGTCTCTCAATTTGTAATTCTAGTCAATTACATTGCAAGTGTAATTTTCTTGTTGTGTTAAATTGTATTTGTAGAAAAATCTGTTTGCTGTCAATTTCAATTTTTCATTTATTACCAAATTTCATTTCTGAGAAAAGGAGGAATGTATTAACTGCATATGATTCATTTACACTATTATTACTATTTTAATGGAACTATTTCTTATTGTGTAATGTTAAACCTTATTACTTTCTAATTTCTCGCCGTTACTCCACATGCTTTGTATGTGCGCATTAATATCATACACTTTCAATAAAATGTCAGCATCCAGTCAACACGTGTTTTGAGTGTCTCATAGGATTACCATAGGATTACCCAAGTATTACAATTATGATAAATAAACAGAATCATCAACAATGTACCTAAGCTAATAAACTTTGAATTTATACATGAAATTCTAGTTGACACAAAATGAAGTTAGGGTTAATGGATTCAGGATTTTTAAGCTTTGGTAGCGGTTGATATTTGTGTAATCTTTTGAAAGTGAGGGATGTAGGGAGTAACTCCATTTTTCGTCATAAATGCACAAAAATTTAAAATATTAAAGGAATAAAAATCGAAAATATATAGCACATTAGTTCAATAGTGTCTCGATTTTGGTCTACCTCGCACATTCAGTTATTCGTTTATTAGGGAATTGGCTGTTTAGTATACTAGGTATTCTGTGCCAATGGTTTTTTTTTTTTTTTTTTTTTTTTTTTTTTGATTATCCTGAAGTTTAATTTGAATTTAAGTAAATCAAAATCATTTTGAAAAAAATATGATATACATAATTATAATTTCGGCAATATATAGAGCCGAAATGTATAAATAAATCACTTAATCGCCGACATAAAAATATCTGCTTCTTTTCTTAATAAAAAAAGTTTCCAAAACGGGTACTATCAAAGTTCAGGGAAAAACATGATTTCACTGCACCTCTTCAATTTTCATGTTTTTACGTGTACTGAAATTTGTATATTCTCTCAAAACATGTAAATATACAAATAGGATTTTTATATACTGATACAAAAATTATCTTTAAGAAAATAATCTAACAACAAGCTATCAATTAAAATGAAATAGACAATGGTTAATCCACAAAAGATCACTAAATTATTTAGATAAACACAAAAGTAAGCACAATTTAAAAAGGCAAAAAACATTATCATTTCTTATTGATATAAAAATAGTAAAAACTCATCTGTAATTTTATATGTCAATCTGATACACCATCATCAATTATAAACTTTCCCACGGACTTCCTTAGATATATTCATGCCATTTCTCATGTCATTGTCTTATTAAGCAAAGATCAACAATAAAACGTAGTTGAGATGAAATAAACAGGAAAACTTAAAGGGTACATGAAGAAATCAAGATAACGAAAGTATGTCAACAGTAATTGATACGTGAAAGGCTTTGGTACTGAAACTCTTCATGATATACGCTTGTCATATTTATTGGAAAAAAGAGGGGCGTCTACTACTACTTATCGACTGTCTCCTAGGGGAACTCCGTGCGAAGTAAATGTCCCTCGGATCAGGTCTGTCTTCGTGCGCGATGTAAAATCGGTACCTTGGATCAGATCTGTCTTCGTGCGCGATGCAAAAAACGTCCCTTGACTCAGGGCGCCCCCTGCGTACGACGCAAAGATCTCGAGACTCAGAATCTGCTTTTTTACTGCGATAATGATCTGGATTTGGCGATTGACTTCGGTCATTTTGACGGTCTCTTGATAGGGATCTCACCGCTTTCGGTCGGCGGGCTAAAACTCTGCATCTAAGTTGATAAGTTTTTACTCGTTTAATCGCTTCTTCTAGAGTCCCCGGGGGATTATTGATTAACTGCCGCCCCGCTTCGCCGTCATTACACAACAGAGCAAAACGAACAACTACTTGCTCTTGGAAAACTTCCGGCGAAGTTCCGCCACCAAACGCTTTCTGGGCAGTGTCCATTACTCGGTCCCCCCATTGCTCTATAGCTTCGTCCGCTCGCTGGCAGATAAAATTGAATTCCAGCAATGTGAGGCGGCTCTGAGGTAAGTTTTACCGAATCTCTCCTCCATCCGGAGAAAGACTTCTCGGAAACTTAACAGCGCGCCTCGCTGTCTGAGGATATCAAAGTACTTTGGGGCTGCCCCGTCGAGCATGAGACTTGGGGCAAACAGCGCGGGTATGTTAAGGCAGCACATGGACCAGAAGTCGGCGAATTAACATTTTTTTATAATTATTTAACAGAAATAAATCGGAAAAGTCAAGGATAAAACTTTTGTTATAATTATGTATTCTATAGACTTCAATGGGACTTATACTACATGAAGCACTTCACCACGACGTCACCACGTGACGTCTATAATTAGAAAATATGTCTTAATGAAAAAGTGAAAAGTTCAACACTACCCCGGGGATAATTAATTACAATTTGTAATAATTGTTATGTAAAAACATCTCTGTTCCATGAAAAGTTCTGCTAGAATCCTATTGTCCTATCATAGAAATAATTATGCAACACTTTCGGACGAAACCTTCCAAAAATTTTTACATTTTGTTCATAACATATCGAAAAAAAAAAATGCATTAATTCCCGTAAACCATACGATTCTAGCAGCACTTACCAAAAACAATACAATAAGAACTTTGATAGAAACAGAAATTAAGTTTCAAAGTGTGTGGCGTAGTGCTGAACTTTTGCATCTTATTTGTCACGAACGATAGAGGAAAGGCTGATCGGCAAGTAAACACCCTCCCTGCTTTAATTTTACGGAGCGTAGTAGAAGCGTATTACCATACCTTATTCATAAGCTTTATTCCTACATGAATCACACATGATATTCATTCTAAATGCTTTTAAACTCCGATTTTTTGTGTTTGTTTACATGAATTCTCGTTACGTTTCACTTTCACTCTGCTACTGCATGATCAACAGTTATGACGTCATGGGTTTGGTATTTAACCCCTGTGATAACTACAGAGACCCAGAAACGACAAAAGTCCGTTTATATAATGCCATTGCATATTTTGATTAATTTTTACGACCTCAAATCAATCTAAGATTTCGATTGAAGGAAATAGTTTTCTATAAACTTTACGTCATATAGCTTACTATGACGTCATATTATATAAGCAAGTAGAATATTTGGTTGTAACCTTAATCTACCTGCGAGAGAGTCGGGTTCGCTTCACTGATGGTATTCAGCGATAGTGGAGAACTTGGCATAGAACGGACCCCATCAACATCCCCGCTATATCTCACCCCTTTGACCTCGGCCGGAATATTCTTACTAACACAGCTTCGGGTTCCAGCGGGAAGTAAACTTGGCAACTGACTCTGGTTCACAGTGGTCATTAACGAATGACCCTGTACGGTATTTGGCAAACCCCCATGACTAGGTTCGAGCGACGGACTACCCCCTAATGTAGCTGACTGCACAACCAACCCGCCATAGTGGCCAGCGCCCTGACCACACAAGTTAGCAACACTAGGATGCGCTGACGCTAAGGGCACGGTCGAAGAAGTACCCAATCGGGTGCACCATGCAACATGCACTGTGTCTCCCCACATAAACAGGCATAGACTCTCCGCTATGTGCGGACAATGGGGTCACTGCAGGCATCTGATGTCCGGGTAGTGTGCTAGGGACCCAAGGACTCCCCTGGCTACTAGTCTCTACTGGCTGGCTGACTTTAATATCCTGCATAGGCGGGGGTGGATGTGACTACCCTTTATCATTCCAGCCAACAATATTACTTAATTGGCCCCCTAAAGTTGTCTCCATAGACCCAACCTGTTTTAACATACTTGTCTCAAAGGCACCGATATTCCCCTTCACGGCTCCCATTCTCTGCCCTAGGGTGTCCACCCTTCTGTTTACTGTACCAAAGTCACCCTGAATCTGACCTTTCCCCTAGGATACGGTCAACCGCTCCCTCCAGGATACGCTGACGTTCCTGGAGCAGGAAATAAAATGCGGACCATCCGGGTGTTTCTCTTGGACCCTCCAAAATAGCTCCCTGAGTGAGTGACATGTCACCCTCCCCATACTGAGTGATATTATCCAGAGCACTCCCCCCCCCGGGGGCATCGGTGTACTAGCAACACCCGGGGCGAACTTAACACTCTTGACAGACGTGACTTTACCTGGACTGCACTCTAAAGGGGTACCTATCAGACCCATCCGGTCTCCTCCCCCTACCCGAGCGTACCAGCCCTCCTCGGGTCTTAAAGTCCCCCTGCCCAGATCAAACGAGCTACCCTCACAGTCCATGATACACACACAAACCACAAAATAAATTTATAAAATCAATATAAAAATATCTCGCGGCGAATCCGCTAAGAACATAAAAGAATGTACAAAATACGAAAAAAAACTTTAACCTTATAAAATTACTTTACATAATAAAAAGTCAAAAAATCAAGATGGCGATGGCACTAGCTAAAACGTTCTAGGCCGGCACCCTGCTGCCCACACAAAAAAAACCTGGGTCGCAGCGTCAATATAGTGTTTCTCTACAGGCTACATTCCTGCTGTGATGGCGGATTATCAGAGAAAACACAATGAGTATAAATTCCGCACTTTATTAACTAGGCTTCGCCAAAGGTACACAATAATACACTGACTTACAGATAAACACGTCCGATGGGACTGCATTCAAATCAAGAAGAGAAAGAGTGTTACGTCACACTTCCCATCATAGTAGAACACGTGACCGGAGGCTACAGGGGAATTCGTCCCCTGCTCCTCCAGGACCAGTACAAAATTTTCATTTTTTTGGAGGGGGGGGGGAGGGGGTGAAATTATAGTACAGGGAACAATAAGCTGTTTTAATAGTCGATGCTACTTGTGTGATCATTAAAAACACAAGGTCTTTGCGTAATTAACATTACCTTGAGTATATACATGTAATTGTTACCTATCATGCATAATTGTATGGACACTTGGGTTAAAATTTTAATTATACATATATAACGATCTTTAATTATTTCAATTTGTTTGTTTATATACTCACCGTCAATAGAAACGCAACACCCGAATTTAAGGGATGAAAATTATGTACGGGATATAACTATGTACCAAAAAAGTTTGGACATTTTTTACTTTGCCAAATCAGTTATTTAACTGTTGAATGATTTTCATTCCATTACCAGAAGTCGATTTTTAGCCCCCTGAACAGAAATAAAAAATCAGCAGTTTTAATAAAATTATTGACAATGTTTTAGGTTTTTTCAGGTTTTATACCTGTTAATCATAAGTCTTTAACTAAAATTCCGGAAAAATGTTCTTTCTTTCCCGGATGAGATGCCTGTATTTCCTCAAAGAAACTGAAAGCACGCATTTTCATTGCTAATGTTGGAAATTCTCAAAATAAAGAAAAGGGAGAGCTACAGATGCAAATATACACTACATAACGACTTTTCGGGCCCATGTGTTTCAAAAGCTTGAATGACATTTCCTTGACCGGAAGTCCAAGGGTTACTACACTACGCCAAGTCGAAAAATTCGACCTCAGTATCTGAAAAACAGGCATTTAAAGATGCACAAGAATATTTTTTTGCTCAGGTTAAAGACATTGATAAACCCACTGCATGGTAGAATTTGGGCTGTGTTTGTTTTACATGGCGGACTAGGACGTTTTAATTGAATGGTCGGAAGGGGGGATGTTTTAAAAGTTATATGTTACTTTTTAAGGGCTAAAGATAACATTTAAAGTTTAAATGAAGTATCATTGTTTTGTAAATTTACTTTTTACATTTATGTATTCATTCTTAATTTTATCTTTAAACGGGTGTTTCACAGCTAGGTGTAGATGAAGACATGCTAATTACCATTTGCATGTTTTAGTTATAATTGATAGGTTTTTGATAAAAATGTGTACCTTGAAATAAGAAATAATATACATCCGAGTAAACGAGACTCGATCAGTATCAATTTTTAGTATTCGATACTTGGACCTTGGATCGAGTACCCAGTAAAGTTGACCTCCCTAGAAAATATATTAAACTAGAGGTACTGTGAACAATGAGCTCACTAAATGATACCCCCCGCCTCCCATAATGTCCATGTGTTGCTATATATTGTTTTACGGTAATGTGTAAAGAGGAATAACTCGTCCTATCAAATGTTATCCAGAAGCTTCTATATGTGACGTCATAGGTAAACATATAATGGCAATGTCAATGTTTTGCTATGGGAAACTTAAAATACGTTTCGAATAAAAAAGTAAAATATGAGGTGCACAATGGCAATATGTAATAAAGATTCTGTGAAAGTTTCATTAAATTTTACTCAGTAGTATAAGACGAATTGCGAATAAGAGATAAAGTGTAATAACAGATGGACGGACGGACGGAAGTACCGATTATTATATACCTTCCCACATTTCAAGTGGGGGTATAGATATATCATAAAAAGTTATATAAAGTCCTTGATTTCATTTATTGAAAGTCGGATGCATTGTAAAATAATTTTTGTTAAAAAAACATTATGAGATATTCTTAATTTTTTTTTTCAATTATACACTTATACAAGAGACAGTTGTGAGGGGAATGGTGTAGATAATCTCCAGAAAAAAAAATCACCACTGATATTGGGATGTATGTACCAATGTTTTACAATCATCAAAGACAAATTTACCACAGGAATAAAATAAAATTGTCTAGCGTTCAAGGGCCTGCCATGGTAGAAGCTCTCCTGAAAAAAAAAAATTAATACGAGTTATCAAAGAACAAAAGAGAATTCTAACACAAATTCTAAATTTGAAATATTCCTTTATTAAAATATTAATTTCATTTTTGCGAATTGTGAACAATCCTTGTACACATTATTAGATATTTACAACAGTATATCATATCTGCAAAGGAAAATGAACAGGCAAACAAGAAACACCGCTATTGTGATGTAAGATAAAGCTGCTTTGACGTAGAACGACATAGCCCCCCGTCCTTAATTTTTTAAAGGAATTATTTTTTAATCATTGATGTATAAAGAAAATTGATAAAATTTTGCTGCTCAAATTCTAGGAAATTTGAAGCAACAAATTTTGTAACACATTGTATACCATAGTTTTCCGATATTGCTTGTATTAAGGGGCCAAGTGATCATACCGTACAAATGAAAACAATTCTAAAAATATATATTTCAAAATTATAATGAATAAATAAAAGAAATCTTATTAGTTCCTTTATAAATGATAAATTGATATGCAGTCAAAATCTGTCGATTGTAGTCAATATTGCAACAGTGTATTAGTCTTGCGAGATTTCCACTGTTCATTTGATGGATTTCTTATGCATTTTTTAATACAATTTCTAGTTTTGCATCAGTCATTTCACTACTGATAGATCCATATACAACAATTTTTTCAGATTTAAACACTTCAGTTGACTTCAGCAAATACCACTTTCCAGGCTTATGTATTGCTACCGTTGAATTAGGTTCCGATTCACATGATTTCTTGTACACCTGTAATAATGCAACAAACAAATTAACAACGGAAAATACTTGTACCTACGTACATAATCTATTTCTCATGTTTGATTCTTTATGCTTGAAAAAAGAGTAAATAACTTATTTGTCAGCAAAAGCTTCTGTAATTTCATTTAAAGTTAATCTGAATGGAGATGGAAAGAAAAATGTGTAAGTGACTCTAATTAATTTCAATACTACTTAGCTCTTTTCAGTTATACATGTACAAATAAATAAAACAATAAGAAAAACATTCTCCAACTGCTAAAAAGTGTCTGATGTTTGATGTTTTCATTTGACTTTCATTCTTGAACATTATTAGATTTCATTTTATAGAAATCCCTTTCTACAGAGCAAAGTAATGAAATTATATCATGATAGTGTAGCCAAAAAGACTGGGTACTAAATTTAATTGGTGAAAGTGTTAATCATATCTTGCGAAAACACAAGACATCCCGCAAAATCACACATTTTACTATTTAGTACTTACAAATAACATCCTAATTCGATATGTATTTTATACTTGCTTCACTGTGTAGTTGACCCCTGTTGATATATTTAAAGAATATTTTCAAGTTTGTGGGGAGTAATTAGAGTGCTATAATAACACATACTTTCACGTGAGTATATCTTTCAATAAGCGAATATCACACAGATCTGTCGCATATACATATTTTATGGAGCGTGTGAGAGCTTTTTTGGAAGACAGATTACCATGCAAATTTGTATGATTTACGTCCCATTAATAAGTAAGAAAACTGAAAATTGACGTTCCATTTATACACATACACACACACCCTCACACACACAGAGAGAGCGAGAGAGAGAGAGAGAGAGAGAGAGAGAGAAAGAGACCTGCGATTTATGTCAACATAGGCGAGGTATTGGAGATACCACGTTTGAATTGAAATACTGATTTTAACCATAAACAGGTACTATAGAAAACAAAATGCTGCAAATTTTAAAGAATAGCCTGGAAATAGTAGTGTAACATATCTACGCACATCAGTTATATTTTTTGTCACTTTATTTGACCCTTACTTATACAAATTCCTTACACAGAACTAAAATTATTTTATAAAATCATAATTCATATTAAAGTACTTACGTTAATTCCAAATCTATTACTATCAAAGTTCATCAAAGGCATATGATACAGGAAAGGAACACTCCAAGCTACAGCTAAAGCGAAATCTGTTTCATGAAATTGATATGTCAAAACTCCTGTCGTTCCTAATGGTAAATCTGTAATGGTTGCATTACAAAATCATTTTAAAGGTATACACTATCACCTCCTTTTATTGGATATATACATATTTGCATTCACTCTGTTTTTTCCCACTATGAACCTGCGAGCTTCAATTACATTTATTTAGAAAATAAACAATAATGCTAAACAGTTCTCTGGAAAATCTATCCTGTGAAGCCCGATTGATTTCTCATTAGATTTGATCACGTACCATCTAAGTTCATTTCCTATTGAACTTTTTAACATTTTTGTATATTACTTTCATGAATTTTTAAATTTGAGACAAACGAGCGTATGTTAAGGCAGCACATGGACCAGAATTCGGCGAATTAACACTTTTTTTATAATTATGTAACACTAATAAATCGGAAAAGTCAAGGATAAAACTTTTATTATAATTATGCATTATATAGACTTCAACATGAAGCACTTCACCATGAAGTTACCACGTGACGTCTATAATTAGAAAAAATGCCTTAATGAAACAGTGAAAAGTTCAACACTACCCTGGGGATAATTAATTTCAATTTGTAATATTAGTAACATCTCTGTACCATGAAAAGTGCTGCTAGAATCCTATTGTCCTATCACAGAAAAAATTATTCAACACTTTTGGACGAAAACTTCCCAAAATTTTTACATTTTGTTCATAACATCGAAAAAAAAATGCATTAATTCCCGTAAACCATATGATTTTAGCAGCATTTTCCTAAAACAATTGAATAAGAACTTTAGATAGAAACAAAAATTAAGTTTCAAAGTGTGCGGCGTAGTGTTGAACTTTTGCACCTTATTTGTTACGAACGATAGAGGAAAGGCTGATCGGCAAGTAAACACCCTCCCTGCTTTAATTTGACGAAGAAATTGTAGAAGTATATTACCATACCTTATTCATAAGCTTTATTCCCAAATGAATCACACAAGATATTCATTCTAAATGCTTTTAAACTCCGATTTCTTGTGTTTGTTTACATGAATTCTCGTTACATTTCACTTTAACTCTGCTACTGCATGATCAACAGTTATGTCGTTACGGGTTTGGTATTTAACCCCTGTGATAAATACAGAGACCCAGAAGCGACAAAATTCCGTTTATATTATGCCTCTGCATATTTTGATTAATTTTTACGACCTCAAATCAATCTTAGATATCGATTAAAAGAAATTGTTATCTCTAAACTTCACCTCATATAGCTTACTATGACGTCATATCATATAGGCAAGTAGAACATTTGGTTGTAACCTTAACCTACCTCCGAATAAATTTCGAGTAAAATTTCACTTCTTACACGAACGGGCCGCTGTTTTGCTATGTTATGACGCGCAATGACCTAGAAGTTGTTTGGTCTTGCAAGTTCATCTCGCTCCAACATTTGGATGTCTACACTCATTTTTAGCCGTCCAGTTTAGGAAATATAGTGAATAAAAATTGATCGCTGCTGAGAATTATTTTACTAATTCATGAATTTTTAATATATTTAAAGACAAAAGCGTTGGTATCGTCTGCTTTTATACATCAAACCTATGGAATTATGGGTTAAATATGTAAGTGTGGTTTGAGGCTACTTATAGTATTCAAAACATTATTCGCATTGAAAGAAGAATTGTACATATCTTGATAAAAATATCCATATTTTAAAATCATTTTATCTTTTTCATCGTCATTAACTTAGAGATATTCCAAAACAAATTGTACACTGGCAGAAATATGTTGACAAAATCTCGTTATGACCTCTGATCCCCAAATAACGTTCATAGAGAATTAAATATATTTTTTGGTTTTCTTCAATTGGTTCATAGTTGAAAGATATTTGCAAATGTACATATAGTATTAAAGACGCAATTGCGTTTGCTATGAGTGCAATTCCCTTTTCACACTCGCATAGAACGAGGGTTGTCCGGTAAAATCGTGGACAAAGTATTTGTTTGTTTGTTTTAAGTAAAGGGGTTACTTAGATGAAATTTTCAACAGATGTTTTTTTTTATATTTTAGTGTATCTTAATATTATTTTGATTAGTTATAGACAAAGTTGAATAAATTATCATGATTGAATGTACACAGGGTTCGGTCTCACGGTGCTCGATCAAAAACACAAGGTTCCATAAAGGATATGGAGATAACGAACAGTATTCAATCAGAGAATACACGAGTATTATTTCGCAATAAGAGTATTAAATGGAGAAGACATATCAATATAGAATTGTCCATATGAAAAATAAATATATAGTAATATCGATATAAATAAATGAATATTTGCGAAAAAGAAGTCAGAATAAAGTGTTTTTGAATTAACTTCGGGGAGGTGGGAATTCTAATAAATCTTCACTTCACTCGATATTCAGTGAAAGCTTAATTATGTACCATGTATTTGTCAGGGTGTACGATTATAGGCTGAAACAAATTCAAAAAAAGATATTTAAAAAAAGGAGATGAAGAGACATCAACAGTAAGAAAATAAGCATCGTCATAGGGGTTTTTGTACGCATCACAACTTTTGAATAGGGATAGGGTATCATGTTTCAATGCTAATATCTCCTGAGTTCAGTGCAGGATTTTAAATCGATTACGAAGCGAAAATAGAATGTAACAGTATTATAAAACTAACACTATTTGATGTTGTTCCAAACTGTGGTATACATAGGATCTGACTCTTGAAGGCAAAACCTCCACATACATTTTTCAAACCCCCAAGCCCCCTCCCGTCTGAATTCCAAAAATATAAAAATTGACTATGATACCATATATCAGATAAAAAATCACAATGATAGAATGTATCAGCTGAAAAACCAAATATCATCAGACATGATACATGTAACGATAATGTATTTTTTGGTGTCCTTTATAACTCACTGAAATACTTCCATGCACTAATAATACGTCGTGCAGAATAAAGATTTTAACTTTCAGATCTACTAGTATTTATCTTTTATGTATAGCATTTTAGCTTACATTTTGGTCCTCTGAAACTAAGAGAAAAAGATTCCCCTGGCCCAATCTTCCACTTTGGATTAGCTTCGTCCACACCGTATTCCAAGCTTATCTCGGGATTTACAAGAATTCCATTTTTCAGTTCATTATTGATGGTCAGATTTATTCGTGACTGAAGCAACTTAGACTTTGAAATTGTCATCATTACACCTACTGCTGTGGCTGGAAAATATATATATACCTTGAAGTTGTTAGATTAAATATTATAATGTCTATACTTGGTAAAATTTGCGAAAGAAAAAAAGAAAAGGTGTAAAAATTCATTTTTTCTGCAATTTGAAATGCTAATATAAATTACCTGAACCGTAAAGGTATGGATTTTGCATCACACTCTTAGCAGTGGAAAGATATCCACCATATCCTGACAAAGCATTTTGAAATGGACCCCATACACATCTTAAAAGGTAGATTGTGACATATCTTTAACTAATGAATGTTTTCGAAAGTTATGTATATATCATTCGGTGCTTTTTCCTTATTTGTCTACTGATGATATCGATGTTTTAGTCATTATTTTGAATTTTGGTGTGTATTTTATTCCAAAGAAACTGTAACAACATTTTAAAAAAAATAATTTGACTGAGTCTTTGATCGGATAAAGTGAGAAATTCGTACTCAATTCAATATGAAAATTATGGAATACTTCTAAAATTATTTAAAAAAAAAAAGCATCACTCAACATTCGACCGTATTTGGAAGCAAAATTTGTTGATATTATCAAACCATAGATCATGCAGCAGCCTTTTCAAGTTTGAAATTCAAACACGACTAATTACATGTATGAAGAGTAAATAGAACGATCTGTTATTTTTTTCTGATAAGATAAAGAGTAACTGCTACATGTACTAAAGCTGAGGGCTACTGCTCTCTAAATTATCATTGTTTTCATAAATTCATCATACACATTAGGAGGAATCCCTTTATTACCTTAAAGTTACCTTAAATGATCTTTTATCCTACAGTTTAATACTGCACTAAATATGTTTTTCCTAGATCTATCCAAGAATAATAACAGATTACTACGTAAAAAATCTGACGTGATCTCGTTAGGTAAGGTACATCCACAGATGTAACAAAGACGAAAGGTGAAAAAAGTTTGCCAAATGCCTCGTGTGCGACTTATTTGTAGGGGAAAATTGAATCTCAGTTATAGCAAATTTTCTCTGATATCTCATCTTACATGTATGTATAATTCATTTACAAATTCCAAAATTTGCAAAAATCTTGTTAAAGATTTAATCGTTTTCTTCTACTTAAACATAGTTTCTGATTTATATGTGTCATCGGTACATTCCATTTCCTTAGATCAAGTTCAAGATCACAAACGATAAGATGTTTTGAATAAATAGTGTAAAATAATAATATTAGACTGTTTTATGGCTTGATGCAAAGTCATTTGGACAAGTACAAGATCACTATCAGGGTCTGCACATTGATTTACTGTCTTTCCGCTGGCAAAACATTGCAAGCTGATATCCTTTACAAAATTCTTTACAACTTTAGAATGTGACATAACCACCTTGATTCAAGCTACGCATGTAACTACTGTCTGATGCTTCAATGGATACCTACTCGTTGCGTTGAAACGAACTTGGCTCACGTTTTCATTATTATGATAAATGTCAATCTAACACTTTAGTGTGCTTAATTTTCAGGGTAATATCTCGTATTGAACGACAAAATCCCAAATTTTCGGGGAAATATTTCGGATTGAACAACGAATTGGTATTAATATTTTATACCTCTTCTTGAAGATACTTAAAATTATAAAATGCGTTTCGTAATTGTCAAACCTTTATAATATTTTACTTTTTAAAAGATATCATCTCAAAGTAAATTTACATGAATAGAATATTTTATCTATGTATGCCTTTCATAGGCGTCGGAACAGGGAGTGGAGGGCTGGGGGGAGGGGGGTGGTAACCCCCCTCCCCCATTTTTTGTAATTTAAATGCATTCATAATATAGGCATTGAAAATTGGGGTTAACCTTTTTTGGTGGTTTAGCCCCCACTATCAATTAGCCATCCCTTTCAATTTGCTTCCGACTCCTATGCCTCCAGTGGAAGAAACTTAATATTGTGAATTTTGTTTCCTTTACATATATAAAACCGAATGACAGCTTTTTATAAGTTATTTTTCAGAATTGTATCACTTTTTAAAAAGAGAATTTATAACACTCCGAGGAGAAGATATCTTTAAAGCAAGAACAGGTGCCTGTCGCCATTAATTGTCATCATCCTGATATAATACATGTATATTTGATCGGTCTGTCCCAAAATTCGCGCAACTACCATAATATCAAAGTGTAAATTTCACTCCGAGGAATTCGATTAACCTAATCTATTCTATGGATTCCATAACTCAGCAAAGTATTTATAAACAATTCCACCACGATCAAAGGTATGCCGCGGACATTATTCTCCAATAATTCACAAACTTTGTAGCCATCAAAATATTATTGAAATTAGAAACACGTATCAAACATGTATTTTTGTGATGCATATTCGACACCAGAATGAAATATTGATTTAGACCACATGGATGTGTCGTCTTTCGCAGTCTAAACACCACGTAAATTGCATAAAGAAGCTGATGAATGTAGGTTTTTGTAGCTATGCGCTGCTATTCCCCGTACCACGTACGCCATTAAAACATAGAAAAGAAAAATGATTTTGTCATCGTGTTTTTATAAGAATTAAACAATATATCTAACAAACAAATTAATTTTATAATAAACAAAAGGCTTTTTAATGGAAAGTTCAAATTACCTGCATTCCATACACAGGTAAGCAAACAAATTTACCCTCTTGGTGCTAAATCGAACAGCGTAACGCAACATAGTGATTCATCGTTTCTCCATAGAATAAATGATCAACCATAATTAGAGCTGTTGATAGAATAGAAATACTATCCTTGTTATCATAAATGTTGCAAGGTAACCTTCCTAGTCTTGAAATGTTTGAAATATAAAAGCCTCGGCTAGAACATCGTTTTTATTTTTATTTTGAAGATGACATTTCTAGACTTTGCAGGTTATCATGCAACATGCACGATAACGCCGACTTCCTTTCTTAAATATACTGATATTTTTTTTGTCCTGGAAATGGTGCGTCAATTCCCTATCTTTAATAATACATTAACTGCTGTAGAGAGATACTTTAGAGAGAAATTCTTTAATTAATGTGACGCAGCATTGATAAGGCTTGAAAAGGGTTTGGGCCTAATTTATAGGGAAATGTTTAGTGTGACATCACACACAAAAAACTACATGTATAAATTTGAAAAGGTTTTCCTAATAACACCAGAAAATTAAATACTTTGCAATTTTTAACTGTATTAGCAAAATAAATTTCAAAACTTTCAATGCATTGAAAATTGTTGTTTACTGAAACTGATTTATTTTATGAAACGCCTATTTCCACATCGACCTATTTAAAGGCGTTGTACAAAATCTGCATAATAAATATTTGCATATAGTATATATAAATGTACATGGATACATTTAAAGGCATATTTAAACCAAAGCATAAAAGTCTTTAAAGAAGTAGCCTTTTAAATGTTTATTTACGAATAGATTTTTTTTTATGTTCAAAGACAGTTCATTCCACAATTTTGTTCCGATTTTACTAAAGCTGTTGTCGCTTAAAGTTTTCCTTTTATTAAATGGTACTGTATAACAGCTTTCGGAATTTTGAGAAGAACGCTATTTTTTTATATGAGGGTTGCTTTGACAAAGGTTCCATTAAAAATATCCTGGTGCTTGGCTCAGAGAACAATACTCTAGGTCTGATATTTATCCAATAGAGATCGAATAGAGCGTCTTTTGAACTGTCAATTTCCTCCGATTTAAAACTAATTTAGCACAAATATTTTGGATTCTTTGCATTTTATTTATTTCGCTTTGTGTTGTTCTAAACAAAAAACGTTACAATAGTTTCGATGTGAGATAACAAATGATAAAAGCAAAACTTCCGTAGCTTCCTTTGTTAAATATATAAAAATAAATTTGATCCTAAGATTATTAAGCATTGCTGTACGACATTTATTAATTACATGTTCTTTGAAATTTAGATCTTCATCTACAAATGCACACAAATATCGAACACATTTTACATATTTGATTTCGTTAATGTTGATCACTTTTGTAGTACATTTTTCTAGTTGCATTTACTTCCAAATAGAATGAACTCTGTTTTTAATGCATTCATTTTCGATTAATTAGGGATTGTCCAGTTTTTGATAACTTTTTTTCAATCCAGAAACTCGGGAATATCCTCAATTTCGTTGTGATTTGACGCTGGATTAAAGCGTTATTTGCAGTATGGTCATCTGCAAAACCGAAAACTGATATGGACGGAGGAATGACACCAAAAATAGTTCCCGCGTACGTCAGATACAATCAAGGTCCTAAGCGGCGATTAAGCATTAGCGGTTGATAATGTCAGCTATATGCAATACTTTATGGCATTTAGCGTTGCAATTGCAATGCTTAATGCTATTTGTATCATTAAGCGGTGTTTTATCATTAGTGGTTGCTACACTGCTACCTTGTGAAACGCTACATTGCAGCTGATGCACAAATGATGAATCAGAATTTACACATACTTGGCAGTCACGAAGTCGCAAGTACATTGTATGAATCTACCCATTTTGATGCCAAACCACTTATTCCATATTGTTTTTGAAATACCTTTAATAATATATCATGGTAGGGGGTTCAGGTAATCCGACTTACCTATGTAATTGTGCCATTTAAACACAATTTATCAATGTTTATAAACGTAATTTTTTCATTATTATTCATATTTATCTAGATATTAAATATAATGAATTTTTTCTACATTGTTTGAACTTTCGTATGACATGTGTGTTATGTCATTCTGAAGAGTTTGCATTAAAAATTTACCCGGTCGAAGTTGTGCTAAAATTGGATACGGGGTTTCCCCTTTGATGCATGGCACTGTAATTTTGTATCTGCGGCGTTGATAGCGTAATTTGGTTGGCTTTCCGGAGGCGATTTTTGAGGAATTGACGACATTGACATATCACAGGAAAGCTTACATTTAGAAGATCAACATTGTTTATGTTGCATCTCAATGCAATGTGCAGAAGTTTATGTATTTTCATTTCAAAGGAAAGAAGTCAATTTTACTAAGGTAAGTAATCGAAATATTTTTATGCAACATACACTATTAAAAAGCTGAGAAAATTTCCTATCTGAATATCATGGTTCTGTAATAATTTCGGAAAATAATTCACCCGGATTCCAATCAAAATTCGTTATCCCAACGCAACTTTTGAACAGTTTCTATGTACCTTTAAATTCATGCACACTTATGTATCGTAGAACCACAAAAGAACATAGAAATGCGACATTAAATAATATTAGGATCG